CGGTTCACTCATGCATATAATAAGCGTCAGGGTTCTTTTTTTATAACAACAGTAAAGAGGTTATTTAGAAAACTGCTAGATGCCAGATGTATTCTAGTTATGCATTCTTGTTGCTAGTTAAGTTGCTCTCTGAAACTGTATCTACAGTTAAAACATAGTGTATAGGTAATTTACAACAACACTATTTCATGTGTGATTGGTAAACACATTCTTCCAGTGTACCTTGTTGATCAAATTTTCACTGATGTATATAATGAGGTGTATGGATTTTAGAGAAAAACATTGGCGAGTGTAACTTAGGTGATGTAAAGTGCCAGGAGCCCATTACTCATGGGCTCCTGAAAGTTCTGAATTGTATGTGAAATGTTATTAAATGCAGATGTTACAGGCAAATTAATTGAAATCTCATTTACTGAAATTTACGGCACGTTGACTCCTGTTAAGCATGTTTCTCACTGAATTTCAAAAATCCACATCCATATCATTGAAATTAAACATATTGATTTTCTCATTAGCTGAAAATGAGGCTCAATCGCAACATTACGTAAAATAGTAATAGTTTTTTTCCGTGTGATGTGTTGTACTTTTTTTATTGCTTACAAAATCCTCACGAGACCTGGAATTAGCCAATCAGGTTATATGTAAATGACGTATTATTCTAAACCCGGTTGTACAGAAATTTGCATACGCTGCACACATAGGCGTCCTCCCACTTAACTGATCATTTACGTTTCGCAACTTGCTGAAGACGATTTTCGATTTCGCTGGGTAAAGACACTGAATATCAAAAATGGCTCAAGGTGGAATGGTTCTTGTCAAATACCTATTGTTTATCTTCAACTTTATCTTCTGGGTAAGCTGAAGCTGTCTTGTTCTTTCCCTGATGACTCTAGTAGTCCTGCTCAAATCCTTATAGATGGTCCTAATGTCAAAGAAGTAGTTTTTCATTACGCATAAATTTAGCTTCACTTGTGATTTGCTCAAAGTTTTTATCGCGTCAAAGTGTTAGTTTAACTTTCTGTGAGAGTTGTCGTTTGTTTCTTTTCTCAACTTTGTGTGAAGCTTTCACAATCGTTCATGGTGATATGAACCACTGCTCTTTCGTTGGAAGAAATGTTGCTTTCGTTTTCGGCCATCGATTATGGTGAGCTTCATTTGAATATTTTGTGGGAGGAACCATTGGAAGACAGATACCTTTAGTAAATTAATGGTAGAGCTGCTTTCATCTGGTTCACAGGGTGACCCAAAAGAGATGCGGGTGTCCATCTTTCCGTCCTTCATGTCAAGCTGAACTTAATAGGCGGAGATAAATAATTTCTATTTTGGCTCGTAAATTACTACAATCTCGGTCGGTATACCACTTAACTGGTGTATCGTTAATTTTCTAATACTCGTTCTCAATTTGTGGCTGAAAGAAATTTGTAAAAGTCTTGTCAGCGAATTATTGCGAGAAATTCACTGAATTATTGATGTAGAATTTTATACAGAAGAGATAGAAAGAGAGAGGGAAATAATGGCTAGGTGGCGGTGGAGGGTGTGAATGATTCAGGAATCTTCTTTGATCTATTTACAACTGGCGCAATGTTGCTGGCGCGTGTAATAAATTGTACTGGACTTTGATCGCGTTATCTTCCTGAAATTAAAACCATTGGCGTAAGTTTATCTGTCGGACTAAATGTTTAATTCTCATTTACCGTATGCTAGGGATATTTAGTTAGGAATTTTTTTTAGTATACTACCAATTCAAGTTTTATAGTTTGTATGTTGTGCACCGCATACAAGAGATGAGTTATTTTCCACGCCATCGAGTCATTTCGTAGTTATTGATTTGTGAAACTGTAGTATTTAAATACCCAAGACGCTTTAAATCCAGGGGTCAGAAGTTTTAATTTTCAATATAAATTCTCTTAAAACAATGCCCCCAAGTGTTCATGTTTTGTTGACTGCCAAATTTTTTTGGAGTCTCCCAGTTTATCTACACAACAGCCTCTCTTCTTATCTGTTTTTAACACATCTGTTTTCTTTCATTAATGGTTTCCGCACAAAATGTTTAACAGTTTTTGTAAACCCATTGAGTAGAATTATGCAGGTTTATTACTAATAAAAATATTTGAAGGAGAGAACTTTTAAAATGAAATTCTAAAGCCAACCTCAAGTGAGCCTTGTGTTTACCGTTGGTTTGATATAAACTTTTGTCACACATAGCTGTGAATAAAATACTAACATTACATCTGAAAGTTATTGCTGAGAGTCCAAAATTTGTGAGGATAGACTCCTCTTAAAGGAGCTAGATAGCAATTGTATTTTCCAATACCTCAATTTTGCCTTTCCTGGATCATACAGTACATTTACTCATGACTGAATAAGAGCAGATCAGAATAAAATATTGTACCTGTCATAATTATTTGATTTAAACACATAATTTGTGTTTTTTACTCTACTTTGATAAATGTTTCCCACAAGGAGGAGTTTTCTTTATTATCAAAGGAGGAAAGTTTCTTTCTTGTACCCCAAGTGACTAGCTATAGAACTTGGTGTTGGATTACTGACAGGATCTTTTGTTGCCATGGTGTTTTCAGCAGACTGATTGAAATTTTAAACCATCCTTTTAATATTTTGCTCTTGGACCCGTAGAAGAGTGCATTGTTAACCAAGTTATTCATGCACTCCTAACAGTGTTTGTAACTGTAATTTATGATATCTAGGGAAAGTTGCTTCAGACATTGTACATTGCAGTAAGTGTCTTGCAGATTGCCACTTCTCCAACCCTTTTATTTTTAATATCTGACAAGTGATTCTCCCTTCCAGTAATTGTGTATTTCCCTGTGAAGGAGTTAAGGAAATTTGGTTTTATATCACTGACACTCCTAATCAGTTTGTTTATTCCCATCATTCTCCTGTCTGCTAAAGGTGTTGAAATTGTGACAAAGGTTAAATGTTCGTCTTTGGGGTTTTTAAGAAGTGAGCCATTTATATTTTGGGGAAGTTGAAGTTAGAAACTGTTGTTGGACAACAGATGTCTCTGTTTGGTAAAATCAAGCATTATGATTGAAGCAGCTAGCTGAAGCCTTCAGAGTATGCGGAGAAGAATGCCAGCTGGCCTAAATCTCCTGGTGTCTTGAAAAATTGCCTAATTTATCTTCTGTTTCATGGTGGAAGAACAATAAAATTCATGCATACATTTTATTACAGCAGAATTTAATTGCTCATTTAAATTTACTTATGGAGACTTTCCCAGCCATTTAAAAGTTAACAGAGAGAAACCTGGGTAGATTAATTGTTGTGAGAGTTGTGGAAAGGCAAAAAATTCACAATTACTGCTTGATAGTAGATCAAGATGGTGTGCTGAAGTGTTACTGTTATCCTTGAATAGAGAAAGGATGTTTACCTTTCCTATGAACCAATCAGATTGCAGAATTTGTTACTGAGTCCTACAGGAAAAAAAATACCCTTTGTTTTTTTCTAAATCTGATTCAAGTTTGCATTTTTGCAGATCTCTGGCATTTGTTTGATTGCTGTTGGTGCTTGGATCAAGGCAAAATACAAAGACTTCATTGAGCTAAGTGAGGGTAGTAGTGCAGCGACTGGTGCAGTGTTTCTCATCATCATCGGTGTCATTGTTGCAATTGTTGGCTTTTTGGGATGTTGTGGTGCATGGAAGGAGAATTACTGCATGGTCACTACGGTATTGGCTCAAATTTCTCCTAACAGATTACATTTTTGTCAACTCTTATTACTGTATTTAACAAGATATAATTGTGCACACCCATGAATAATACTCACCTCTAGTAGAGACCAAATTTTTATTGTAAAAAGGTTCTTACAACAAAAAAAACCAATCAAATCTTCGAACAATTATTTGTATGTCAGTATTATTTGTATTATAGTAGTTATTGGCTACATGGAGTATGACACAAAATGATTCAGTCAAGTTTTAACTAAAGTTTACTTCATGATCTTTACTCCAGTCATGGGCTAACATTCAAAAAAGCAGCTTCTGATTTTTTTCCCATTAGTGTTATGGATAGTTTCAATGACTGTAAGCTAAGGAGTCAGT